GCTTTCCACATTCTGTATCTGCTCTGTAAGAATCATGGCTGCTATTCCGGGTTCCTTATTATGTTGAAGAAGCATGGGGGCTGATTCACACATGCATGCTTTTCTAGCGAATGTGTGAAAGAGACCAAAACAGCTGGGAGGGGGCTGCCACGTTATGTCAGCTCAAAGAACAATGCTTTTCGGTGCAATATTTTTTCACACATTCAGCTGTGAGTCATCAAATAATGAAACAGAGTGATGATCATGCATTGGGGAATAAGCCCTAATAGTGCTTTCCCTCTAGTCAGGGTAACAGTGAGTTGCCACACACAGCGCTAAAAACATATTATACGGACAAGTCTTACACGTGCTTACTCTGGCATCTTCAATGGGCCTTACTCCTGGTTGAATGTACACAGGATTATAGTCTTAGCCTAGAGTGTGTTATTCGTGAAAGGACAGACAGTAAAAGGTGGCCCTTTTAAAATCTGGTGTATTTTCTAGCCTATGTTGATATTACACTCAAATTAAAGTTGCAGGAAATGCAAAACTGACCCAAGTATCACTTGTGAAAATGACCTAATTCATTACAGTGGTACCTCGGGTTACATACGCTTCAGGTTACAGATGCTTCAGGTTACAGACTCCGCTAACCCATAAAATAGTACCTCGGGTTAAGAACTTTGCTTCAGGATGAGAACAGAAATTGTGCTCCGGTGGTGCGGCAGCAGCAGGAGGCCCCATTAGCTAAAGTGGTGCTTCAGGTTAAGAACAGTTTCAGGTTAAGAACAGACCTCCGGAACAAATTAAATACTTAATCCGAGGTACCACTGTATCTCTATTTAATTCCTTATTGTACCTTCTTCTCCAGCATTCATACTACATATGGAGAATGGCATGGGACTAAACTGCTGCCCACTCCATGTCATCAAACCCCCAGCACCACATTTCCTGGTCTTTGTTTGTCAGGTCAGGAACAGGGACATGTGTATATGTACAGTTAGGGAGGGGTGATTAATCCTCACAGGTGCGGGCAGGAATAGACCCATTCTTCCTCCACACACAGAAAGATTACATGAAGAAAGGCAACCCAGTCAGATGAGTGACATATAAATAATAAATTATTGTTGTTGTTGTTGGGGTCTACAGACAGAAGCCCAGTTCAAACATGACATTTGTGGTGCAATAGGTGTCCATACACTGAACTTCTTGATTCCATGACCCATGGAAAGCCACCTAATTTATTTTCATCAAGAGCACCACGTGCAGAATGCTGTCTGTACTGTATTTTGACAGATACCATGGTAATCAGTCAATGAGTAGAATTCAACGTAAGTGAGGTTTATATGCATGGAATAAGGATGTCCCTCACCCTCTAAACCTGTTCTAGGGTTTCTCCCAAGCTTCCAGAGCAGGGTTGGAGGGGTTACACAGAAAGAAGGAAGAAATTCCTATCACACAAGCAGACTTTGTTCTATTCAACCAGCAACTTGGTTGAATCCCGCCCAACATGCTGGGAGCTGGATGAAATATACTTATATAGGGCTTAATTTCAGCCAGGTGTCCAGGAGCATTTTCCAGTAGTGGCTATCGCCAGCATATGTGAAGTCGTGGCAATAAAAAAGAGATAGAGAGTTAGTTTTTCTCATCACTGTTTTATCATAGCATGTCCCTACACTTAGTATTTCAGAAGGCAGGGCTCCCTGGCCAGTCAGTGTGACCTATTTCAAGTCAGGGGGGGCATATTCCAGGGCATCTTAAGCACCTCTCACTGTAGAAATAAACTGAGGAGAATGGCAGCATAACAGAGATGGATAAACTTCACTTGACTTAATGTTCCAATAGGGTTATCACATACATACATAATTTGCCCCAAATTTATTAATTCATTTTCTTCAAACTAAGCAATGCACAATCCTCTGCTATATAAAAATAATTTACTTTTCCAAAAAGTAGACAAGGAGGGGGGGTTCAATATTCCAAGTCTCACACCTGGCATAATCACCCTGGTTTGGCTATATTTCAGACCTGCTTCTGAACAAATCTAAATGACAAGATGGAAAGTTTGCTGATTTGCAAAAATGTCAGTCACACTGCGGATGACAGGGATTTTTTCCCCCAAGCCATAGACAAGTAGCAAGGTTTTAATCTTGTTTCTAGCAGGGAGGGGACAGATTTCTCTTGAAGGCCAAGAAAGAGTAGATGCAATTATGCCTGACAGTTATATAGCGTGATAGCAGGTACCTAGTTGGAACACAACGGAGGGGGGGGGGGACAAGAATACCAAGTAATGTGTATACACATTTAAGTAGTACATGGCATCAAAAATGATAAAGCTGAATGGACGCTATATGAAAAGTTGACAATATAAGCAGGTATATTTACTCAGATTAACAGTGGAATCTTATGCCTGCCTGTTCAGAACAGGTGTGAGGAGCCTTTGCTGGACTCCAACTCCCATCAGCCCCAGCAAGCATGGCCAATGGCAACATCTGGAAGACCAAAAGTTCCCAACTCCTAGCTTGGAAGTAAGTCCCACAGAGTTCAGTGCAGCTTGCTCCCAGGGAAATGTGTATATTGGATTGCATCATCAATCATTGTAACTAATAACAGGCAGATGATAAAAAGTTGTTCACTTAAAAAAATATTTGTGAAACCCAACACATAAACATAGTAAAAGGTTTAATATAGTATGTCCTGAACAGTCTGATACATTTATTATTGTATGCTATACCATGTAATTAAGTAGGTGTTCCCTATAAGCAGTAATTGACTGCATCATAATTTATCTATGGGGTTAAGAATAGGGGTGACTGCAAGATTTCCTGCACAGAAATTTCTCCCAGAATTTGTAGGGCTGCAGGCTACCTAGTTTTGTTTCTGAAGTGGCAGTTATGGGTTTGACTTCTCCTAAAAATGATACTTCCAGTTTGCACTAAGTTGCTTTTTTTGCCATCACATTGCTTTAATTTAATTAATTGATTAATTAATTTGTATACTGCCCTATACCCGCAGATTTCAGAGCAGGTCACATTACAAATTATACACTCTGTGCTGTTCTTTAGTTTCCCATTCCCTGATCCATATTTGGAAAGTGAGAAGGATCACTTACTTGCTGCAAGAACATTTCTGTCACCAAATATCTTGCTTTCCCTATGGAAGTGAGGGGAGCAGCATTAATATTAGGACTAAGGTAAGACAGTAAAATAAAAGTCTACTATTAACACAATACAGGCTCCTGTAGAATTACGGATCTGGCGCAAGACACTTAACGTCTGGCTTCGCCTAAACTCAAATCCCACCGGTCTAATATCCCTAGTGCTACAAGACTGTCACAAGAGTGCCTGGTCTAAAATTGTCTATCAAAAACTGCACTCTTGTGGTTTATCCCCACAACAGCTACTCACTGTGGGTTATAGTAAAGCAAACAGTCTAATTTGTCAATGCCTAAACTATATTGAGCGTCAGAACAACTTGGCCACAATAAGGAAATTTTGCCCATGGTATGACTATTTTCCACCTTCCCGTTTCGACTCTCTGGCACCCTATCTGCATAACCTAGCAATTCCAAAATACAGACACATTGAATATATTGCCCTCGGCTGTATGTGAGGGCCAATTCCAACAGATTCCATACGAAAAACGCTTACGTCCTTGCGGAGATGGCAACACCGAATCAGTGGCGCATGCTCTCCTGGCTTGCATTCTTTACAAAGACCTGAGGAATGACATTATCACACCTCTTTTATTGTCTATTCTGGGCTGCCTAACCACTGCCATAGTGTCTTTTCTCCTGGCAGAGAGGAGCAGACGACAGCAAAGGTTGCAAGGTTTTTAGCTGGGGCAATCAGAATACAGTGGAACCTCGGGTTGCGAATGTGATCTGTGCGGGAGGCACGTTCGCAACCCGCAGCGCTGCATCTGTGCATGCGCGTGATGCGATTTGGCGCTTCTGCGCATACGCAAAGCACGATTTAGTGTTTCTGCACATGCGCGAGCGCCGAAACCCAGAAGTAACCCATTCCAGTACTTCTGGGTTTTGGCGCGTCCGTAACCTGAAAATGCGTAACCCGAAGCATCTGTAACTCAAGGTACCACTGTAAGGTCCACTATTTGACTGCTAATTCAGGACTCTAAATTGTGTTTTATATAAACAACTTTTTATTTTGTTCTGTGTATACTGCAATGTTATTTTGTTGCTATGGCCATTGGCTGACGCAAATAAAGTTTCATTCATTCATTCATTCATACAGGCGCCTAGCCACAGCTCTGAATGGTATTGGGCATGGTAAGGCAACCCATTTTGAAAATTCCCAGTCCTCAGCCCAGTCTTCCAGCATAAAAATCCAATGAGAAGAAAAGAGATTCGTACCAGTGGAGCATTTTAGAAACTGGAGGCTTTTGTGGATTTGAAATATTTAGTGCTACATTTCTTCTCTGAAATGTTAACATAACAGCCTATAAACCTAACTGAAATGAGACAATCACCATAATTCTTTTAAAAGCAAACAAAGTAGCTTTATAAACCTGTCACTGCTGAAGTTTCAATTGCTTATGCCACATTAGGGAGCCACATTACTCAAGGTTGTACAAATGTCTACAGTGCCTGTCAATTCTATAAGACAAACAGCTGCAGAGTTTCTATTACAATGCTGCTGCTCCCCCCCTTCCTCGCCAGATGTAAATTTTTAACACTCTGTTGTCATTTGCAATATGCAAGTCATAAATTCTTGATGCTTGGTAACTTTTGGACATGTTGCACAAAGACGGTGAACATATTCAAAGCAAATATGACATGCTATATAGTACAGCTGGTTCAATCCAGCCACAGTTGTTCCTAACTGTATTGTATTCTGAGGACATTGATCACTGGTGATAATTCAGTGAAGGACAATGACAAATAATAAACGGGTTGGATCCTAACTTCACTGCTACAAACATAAAAGAGTTCCGTCATGGAACAGGACTTTCCCACCTCATCCTTCTGCAGTCCCCTGCACCCACACCCAATCAAAGCAAAGGGCCATAGCTCAATGACAGACCACCTGCTTTGCATGCAGAAGGTTCCTGGTTCAATGCCTGGCATCGCCAAGTTGAGGTGGAAAAGAATCCTGCCCAAAACCTTTGGGAATCACTCCCAGTCAGTATAGAAAATATTGAACTGGATGGATGGTTGGTCTGACTCAGTGTAAGGGAGCTCCCTATGTTCCTGAAGATTGGGAAACCTTTGGGACTGTGTGGAATATGCAAGGCTTCTGGATGTAGAGGGGAGCTGGCAGAAATCAACCCCCCCTTTGTGCTAAAAGAAAAGCAACCTAAGACCAAATGGATTTATTCAAGATTCTTTAAGATTTTATCTACCCTACCTCTTGCCAAAAAAACTACAGGGAGCCCTCGATTTGCACAGGGGTTGTGTTCCAGATCATCATAGGAGCCAACTCCGAGGGGCCATGGGGGCTTCAGCCCCCACAATAAAATATTTGAGGGAGCTGGGCCCCCGCAAATTTTGTGGGCGTTCCCATTCAAATGGTGTGTGTGCACTGCGTTATGTGATCAATTACGCAGGGCGGGGCTTACCTGGGCCCCCACAATATTTTATTCAAGTTGGCACCCCTGTGGGTCATCGTGTGCATCAATGGAGTGCGCATAAGCCCACTCTGTTACTCCCCTGACACGCCCTCTTCCAGGTCTGAAAATGCCCTGCACATTCTTTGAATGCACAAACAAAAAATGGGTTGCCTGTATTTCATTGCACAAATTTCATCAGATCCCAATCCTGTGATGTGATCATTGAAAGGCAGTAGTTCACAGAATGCAGGAACCCTTTACCAGAGTAATGGAAATTATGCACCATGTGAAAGTAGCAGTAAGCACCAGTAGTTCTGCCCTGTTGCCAGTTTCTCATATAGTGGGCATACGTCAAAGCCCCATGCAAGCAAGGCTACTCATTCTCTTCTCTAAAGGCCAATATTTGGTGGACGAATGTTTCCTCATCATCCTGGGAAAAAGTGACACTGCACAGGGTTCTGTCCTGGGCATGTTGTTGGTCAACATCTTTATAAATGACTTGGATGAAAGAATTGAGGGATTGAGGGGATGGTCATCAAATTTCCAGGTGGCATCAAACTGGAAGGGAAAGCTAATGCCACAGAAGACAGAATCAGGATTCAAAATTATCTTAATAGATTAGAGAACTGACCCCAATATGAATTTCAAAAGAGAGAAATGTAAGGTTCTAGAATTAGGCAGGACAACCAGCTGCCCAAAAATAAGGTGGGGGACACCTGCCTTGCCAGTAGTAAATGTGAAGAGGATCTAGAGGTCTTAGTGACCACAGGTTTAACATGAGTCAACAGTGTGATGTAGCAGAAGAAGAAGAAAGCTAATGCTATTCTAGGCTGCATCAACAGAAGTCTAGTGCCCTGATTGAGGGAAGCTATAGTACCTCTCTATTCTGCCTTGCTCAGACCACACCTGGAATACTGTGTCCAGTTCTGGACACCACAGTTTAAGAAGGATATTGACAAACTGAAACATATGTAGAGCAGAGTGACCAAGATGATCAAGGGTCTGGAAACCAAGCCTTATGAGTGAGTTGGGGATGCTTAGCTTTGCTAAGAGGAGACTAAGAGGAGATATGGTAGCCATTTTCAAATACCTATAGGGCTGTCATGTGGAAGATGTTTTCTCCCGTTCCGGAAGGTGGGGCATGAACCAGTGGATTCAAGAAAGGAGATTCTGACTAAAGAACTTTCTGAGGCTAAGCTGTTTCACAGAGGAACGGACTCCCACAGAAGGTGGTGGACTCCCCTTCCATGGAGGTTTTTAAGCAGAGATCGGGTGGCCATCTGTCATGGATGCTTTAGCTGAGATTCCTACATTGCAGGGAACTGGACCAGATGACCCTGGATGTCCCTTCCAACTCTATAATCCTATGATTCTATTAATGGGGCTTCTCATTTCATCAAACAGTACAGGGAAGGCTATTTGCATATAGAGCCCTATTCATATTTCAGAGGTGCTAGGCTTCAATAGAACTGTAAGAGTTCTATTGAACTCTATTGAACCCACAATTTTCAATTTCTGGTGGTAACCCTTAAAACGTAACAGTTTAGGTAGTTTGCATATATTGATTACCCAGGAAAGGTTGGTTTTGTGATCTGATCATTTTTATTCATTGCATGTTCTTTTTTTTTTTTATCTGACAGTTTTTATTCAATAATTTCTCCATGTTTTGCTGTATTTAGTCTTAATGTTACAGGATTAAAAAAAAGTCTCAGTTGGATGTTTCTCTACCCGAGGAACCGATGTGTGAGATGGACCCTTGAACTGCTGCAGTTCTAGATTTCTGTTTCATTTCTCAGTGTACATCAGTAGCTTCGTAAAGAGAAATATTTTTAATAAACATTCCATTCCCAGCAGCAACAAGAAAAACGCAAGAAAACATAGCAGGCGAAAAACAATAAAATTATATCACTGAATATGTTGAAAATGTGTTCAGGCTCTGAGATCTTGGTTTCCAAAAATTGTTATCAGGTAATTATTTGTCAGGTCACAAACGCATTAGGAAAGAGGGTTATATTTAATGCAAATATATGCAGTGTAAAAAGAAGGCTCTGTGGTGGTTTATTCTTTGTGTTCTCTCTCTCTGTATGGTATTTTTCTGTTTATTTGAATATCACTTTCTTGCATCTATGGAGGCATGAGTTCTTAATGTGTAAAAGGCTTATTTTAAAATCTACACTTTTTAATTGGGAGAAACTTTTCCAAAGTTTTGGCATTGGGAGGACCATGTTGAAGAGAAGATGGGGAGGTTGAGAAATTAAATCAATACCATTATTGATCAATTGTTTAAAATTAATTTCTTGGTCTATAAGTCTGTACAATAATTTGTTGAGAGCACTAATTAGATGAAAGAGATGGCTAATTAGAACAAAAGCTTGTGCTTGCCTTCCTAATGCACCAAGGGCATCAGTCTAGTAATGATCTCTAAAAAATATTGTGCACAAGGTAACTGGGTTAATAGAAATATTAAGGACTCTAACTTTGCACAAATATTTCCAATGACTCGATCACTAGAACTTCCTCACCAAAACTTTTAACTTATCTCCCTCCGTGGAGGTTTTTAAGCAGAGGTTGGATGGCCATTTGTCATGGATGCTTTAGTTGAGATTCCTGCATTTCATGAGGTTGGACTAGATGACCCTCAGGGTCCCTTCCAACTCTACAATTCTATTATTCTATTATTCCATCTCATATGAAGCTGAGATATTTCACTGGGGGAAGGCTTCTTCACATGGTGCTGATCTAGTATTTCAGCCATCAATTAAGAAGGGGCACATACAAAGAAATCCTTTCAACAAAGTTCTTAAGCAATTCTCAGGTGGGTGCCTGTCAATTTTTTCCTCTTGCCTCACATTGACATTAGGAGGTGGCTAATGTATGTTTCCTTTTAGATTTTCCTTTTTGTGTTTTCCAGTCTTCCCACACATTCTGGAATGAAGGAAAATACCTCCCTATAAACAATGTAAAACAATCTAGAATCACAACTAGAGTTGTTGCTAAAGATATACCGTATTTTTTGCTCTATAAGACTCACTTTTTCCCTCCTAAAAAGTAAGGGGAAATGTGTGTGCGTCTTATGGAGCGAATGCAGGCTATCTCAGAAGCCAGAACAGCAAGAGGGATCACTGCTTTCACTGCGCAGCAATCCCTCTTGTTGTTCTGGCTTCTGAGATTCAGAATATTTTTTTTCTTGTTTTCCTCCCCCAAAAACTAGGTGCGTCTTATGGTCTGGTGCGTCTTATAGAGCAAAAAATACGGTATATCACAAGTGTCAAAATCCAGAGTAAAAAGGTGCATCTTCAGCATACAAGGGAAGCTGTACAGACACATCTCTTTGTGTGGAAGGTATTCCACAACTTAGGGAAATGCCTATTAAGTATTCTTGTTTAACTGACATTGAAATGGAAAATAACTACGTTTCTGAATGTGTATTGCTGAAGGTTTAACATGGAATATTCCATTGGGCTATATTAAAGCAAAGTAGAGCTTTCTGAGCATCTAAATGGGTTGATAATTAACTTAGGATGTTCTCTGCTAGCTTTCACATGGTGTTTAACTTTAAATCACATGTGAGAATTACATTCCAAAACCAAGGCACACTTTCCCATGTAAAGTAATGCAAACGAATTAATCTGTTCCAGACTTTTAAAAACAACCCCTAAAACAGCAATTTAACATGAATTTTACTATCTAACGAGACCATTGATCCATAAAATGTACTGTACTATAAAAAAAATAAGACAGTATCGTAGATGATAAAAATGAAAATTTAATTATTTTCTTCCCTGCACTGATGATAGTCATTGTTTGGATGGGGGGCTTTTATTCATTTCCGCAGTCACACAATCAATCAATCAGTAGCTGAACTGGGTTCCACGCAGTCACAAAAACAAATTAACCAAAAAAGCCTTAAAAAAAAACAACGCAAAATAAATAGCAAAAACAAAAGTGCCAAACTTAATGCGTTCCGGAATTCCATTTGACTTCCGAAATGTTCGAAAACCAAGGCACAGCTTCTGATTGGTGCAGGCACCCTGGAAACAATAGCCGACAACTGCATCGAATGTTTGGCTTCAAAAAATCATTGAAAAACAGGAACACTTACTTCTGGGTTTTCGGAGTTTGAGAACCAAGGCGTTTGAGAACCAAGGTACCACTCTACTCAATTGCAAATCGCCATCTTGGGGATTTGGTCTCTGAGTCAAGGGAGTAGTAGGGTGGGCTGGGGGGCACCACTGCAGGCACATGTTTTGGAGAGGGCATGACCAGGCACCCCCATGTCAGACTCCCTCTTTGGAGTTTGGTTCCGGTGCAAGGAGGAGTTGCCATGGCAGCTTTCTTGCGTCCGGCCACAACAGCTCCACTCCCAGGTCAAGTCTGACCTGGGAGTGGAGTGCAGGAGAGTGAGTGGCAGTGTTGCCATCCTCTGCTGGACTTCATGCATGAAGGAGCTGCTGAGACAGTTTCCTTGTGCCCAGCCACACCCGGGACCAGAGGAGAGTCGGAGGCAGCTTTGGGAAAGATGGCGAGCCCCAAGAACTTTGATGCAGCTTTGATGTGTCTCAGACCAGCTAAGATCCTGCCAGGGTGACACCCTTGCAGTTGCTCTGGAAGAAAAGTCACTGGATATTGTTGCCAAGGGCAGATGTGCCAACTAATTTGGGGATTAGATTAGATACACTCTGCAACTGTAACTGAAATATACTTGGTCGAGTGTGAATTTCATGCTTTTTATTCAGCTCATAGTAGCAATGAATGAAACTTTCCCCCAAACATCTAGCTATATATACATTATTTACACAATGGGCCCCACGTGATTGGCTAATTCCGGGCTGCTCCTGTAGGCCAATCAGGTTGAGGATTCACCTCCTCCAGAAGCATGATTGGCTGCTCCTGCAGGCCAATCAGGTCACTGATTCACTTCCACCTGGAGCTGGATTGGGTGGCTCCTGCGGACGAATCAGACTGTGCATTCTGGATCCTATTGTTCTAGGATTCAGTTCAGTACATAACAGTAACTCTTCCTTTGTTCAAAATATAGGACTGGGTTTTAAAATGGATGTTAATGGAAAACTGGAAAGGTTTTGCTTATTGATAACAATTGCGCTGCTTAGGGAAGAACCGTTGCAATCTAAAATTTAGCATGTGGTATTGTGGTTAAGCTGTTGATGCCACCTGACACAAACATATAGAGGTCAGATGTGAGGCATCTCAAAATATATCTAGGAGATGATGAAGCACTGAAGTCAGCAAGCTAATGTCAAGGCATTGTGACCTTTCAAATTGCTAGTTATCTTGATATTTCAAATGCAGCTGTGGGTTATTTCCAAAACTGAGACAGATTTGAATCTGAAACAGATTATTTTGGCAGTGATTGTTGTTTTAGCACACTGAATTACCAATGCAAATGGATACATGTCACATTCAGTGCCTTTTAGATTTGGACAAGGGAGGGAGACCTGAGAGTTTAAAAAATGAAGCTGTTAGCCAGTGATTAATTAATAGCTTTGCCCAATTTCACAAGAATATTCATTTTATTATAACACTAGTTGAAAATCTCATTCATATTTGATACTTCGGTCTCCTAATTGCTATTTGGTAACTATTTGCCAACTGCTGACATAACCACTGAAGCATTATTTTGTCATCAATTAGCTTTTGGTTATTAAGTTTACTTTCTCATTTTTAATTTCATAACCCCTCTTGATTCATTGAAGACGCTTTCATTTGGAAGAGTTTTATTTGCCATATCAATCAATTTCTTTAGCTTTGCAACTGCTCATCTTGCAAGGATTTGTCCTATAATTAATTCTCATTGGATTGTCTGATCCGTTGGAATACTTGGCTCTGCTTTTAAAGTTATATATTTTATAAGTGGATAGCTCAGTTGGTTAGAGCATGGTGCTGAGAATGCCAAGGTTGCAGATTCGATCCCTGTACAGTGGTACCTTGGTTTGCAACCGTTCTGGATTACAACCACATCAGACCCGGAAGTGTGTTCTCCCCTTTTTTTTGGATTACAACCCATTTCTTTTTTTATTACAAACAATTTTGGAGGGGAGGCCCCATTGGCGAAAGCGCGCCTTGGGTTACAACCTGTTTTGGTTTACAACCGGACCTCCGGAACGGATTATGGTTGCAAACCAAGGTAGTGTATGGGACAGCTACATATTCCAGCAGGGGGTTGGACTTGACTCCCTTCCAATTCCACAATTCTATGATTCTGTAACTGAGGTTGGTGTGGTTTGTGATGGGGTGGGGTTCAGGTGTCGTACAGCTAGTGCAAAGCCATCTTGGGATACAAGGCTAGAGGTGAGATGCTTCTATCTACAGTGCAATGGTATTAAGTGAGAGGTAAAATGATGACGGCACAGAAACCAAAGAGACATTGAAACTTTGAAGAAAGCTTCCTTAGGTTTTTGAGTTAATATCTAACAGAATTTGGACCTTGTGTTGCTTCTTGGTCATTCTTGAATCAACATCATCTTGAATATTAGCACAGAATAGAAAAACACACCCAAACACACCAATGTGGTTCTAGATCAGGCATAGGAAAACTCTGGCCCTCCAGATGTTCAGGACTACAATTCCCATCATCCCTTATCACTGGTCCTGTTAGGTAGGGATGATGGGAATTGTAGTCCCAAACTTCCGGAGGGCCGGAGTTTGCCTATGCCTGATCTAAATTCTCTGAGCAGAAATGTGTAGCCTGGTTATAGTCAGAGTGCATATTTCAGAAATAATCAGAAAACAGTTAGAGATAAAAGAATAGAGACAGGAAACCTCTGGTCCTCCATCTGCAACTCCCATCAGCCCTAACCAGCACAGCTTATCGTTAAGGATGATGGGAATTTGAGAACAGAGCATTCTTAACCAGTGGCGTAGCGTGGGTTGTCAGCACCCGGGGCAAGGCAAGTAATTTGCGCCCCCTGACCCGTGGATTTTAGTAGGGGCAGAGAGCTGCGAGTGCGAGCGAGCGCCCCCCCAGATGTTGCGGCCGGTGCGGCCGGCCCCCCCTGCACCCCCCACACTACGCCACTGTTCTTAACTAAAGGCAGCAACAGCTGCAACCCTATTCACACTTAAAAGAGAGTAAGCCCATTGAGCACAGTGGGATTTATTTCTGAGTAAACAAACATGGGATTTTCTTCGCAATTCACCCTTCACAAAATAGCATTTGACTTCCCGATCAAAGCAATGCCAGTTTAAGAATATATTCTACTCAAAACACAGTTAACTCCCCTACCAATGTGTGTGTTTATTTTTAAATCTCTGCAGTGTTTAACAGTGAACCATAGCATTGCTCTGTTTAGTATCCCTGGTTTAAATGATGGATCAGTAAGAGAGGGTACTTAAATTTTGCTCTCACATATACTGATAGTTCAGTTATTAACTTAAAGAGGAATTCATCTAAATATGCTATTTTCCTGTATAACAGAGAGGGATGCAATTTGCATCTGGTCTTTATCATAATATTGCATTCAAGACAAAAGGCAAATTGTGGCTCCCTTTGCTCATGTCTTATTGTGAAACGGAACTTATAAACCAGCATGGGCTATATAAACAGTCAATAGCATCTCTCCGTTTACTAAGTTATCGGCAAAGTTTAAAGCAAGCAGTTCCTCATTTATTGTAAGAGGCTTAACCACTCGTGGAGCTTAAACTTCCCTCCCGCTCAGTATCAAAAGCTACTGCACTAATCTCTAGCACCAGCGCCACAGAGAATTCACTAATCCTGACCCTCCAACTGAGCTAATATGCTGCAGCACTTTTCCGTCTCTTGTTATTGAGAATTCTTTAACATGCTCCTTGATTAAAGTGTGTATTCTGTTTCCTGCAGTCTTAGAGGAAGGCTCTACCTGTTTCCTGATATGCCAAGAACCACAGAGAAGGTGGGGCAATGCTGGACATTTCAACCAATCAGTGCTAAGAATCACTTTACTGATGCTCTTGTGCCAAACACTCCACGAGTATAATCAAGAGTGACCTGGCCTCACTGTAGTCCCTGTGACTTTTATGAGACTTCTCATAGACACTGACTAGTCTATATTATGTGCTAATAGCAAATCCAGTCCAATGTATAGATACCACTTTAGAATATTGATGATTCGCGATGCTACAGGGACACTTACCCTTTGTTCTTTCTGGGCTGCTTCTCTGTTTCAGTGTCCTCCTGTGGACATTTTAGGAAGCCTGGCCAGTGGGGAATGCAGCAGAGAACCATATAATTTTTTTAAAAAAAAAATGTTAACAAGGAAGAACACTCACCTTGACCGCCCTGCGGTGTTATTAAGAAAGGTGCTTCATAACAAGGTAGTTGAAATTCAGAAATCCCCACACATACAGCTTCCTCAGTATTTTAGGATGGTTTTTAATCACCTCTTCCTCCCACAGATGGCCAAAGAAAACCTGGCTGAAACTGACACATCCTTAATATTTTTAGATCTGGTTGTACTAGTATAAAAATAAAATACTGAAAATAAAATATTCTTAGGGATAGTTTAGTTGGTAAAGCATAAGACTTAATTTCAGGGTTGTGGGTTCAAGCCCCACATTGGGCAAAAGATTCCTGCATTGCAGTGGGGTTGGACGAGTTGACCCTCATAGTCCCTTTCAATTCTACGATTCTATGATCTACTATGATCTCCCCCCTAAATAAATAACTAAAATCTTATTTCTTGGCCATTTAGAGCTGTGACACATTTCTTCTTTTTAATTTGCCCAATTCTACAAGGGAATTCTTGAGAATAGCGTCAGCTCATCACCCGTCTGGATTTCTAGAATTCAGCCCCTCTCTCCAGGATCACAGTTCTGGTAATGAACACTGATTATTGGGGGCTTCTGACAGAAGCCTTCACGTCAATTAAACAGTAACACAAGCAGAGAGATTCCTCCTTCACAGTAGCTGCTCCCAACGTGTCTCCCTACCTCACGGGAAAGTAATGAAGATTAATGGATGTTTGTGAAAGTTGCTGTCTTTGTTTAAAGCAGTATTATCCCCGTGTTGAAAAAGTTTTGGAGGAAAAAGAGGACGCAAACAAATACAACCATGGGGAAAAGTAAAGCAAGTAAGCCAGTTGTAAAGTTATCCCATGCTCCCTTCCAGAAATTTGTAAAGGAAGGGCAAAAGGATGGAAAAAAGCACACTGAGGTCATTACATCTTGGAGAATAATGGGAATAACAGAATAGAATTCTCACTGCTCTAGGCAAAAGGGGAAGGGCTATAGTGTTTGGTATTCAGAAGGTCCCAGGCAATACCAAGTAGGGCTGGGGGGGAATCCCGGCAGTTTGTGATGGTAAAGGTAAAAGGTAAAGGACCTTTGGGCAGTTATTATTATTTTTTATATATATAATATTTATTAATTTTCCAACAATTTAAACACAACACTACAAAAAAAAGCATAAAAAAGAAGACAATGCAATACAATACAAAAACACTACAAAACACTAACACATAAAACTAATAAAACAAAAACAAAACCATTTCATTATCTTATCTTTCGTTCACTTGTTTCCACGACCTCCTCACACCTCCCTTTTTGTATTCCACTTTTGTTAATTGTTTCAGCAATTCCTTTCCATCTTCCTCTGTTTTCTATCCTATAATTATCTTAACACATTCTAACCTTATTTTCCCTTTAATACTCCCTTTAAATATATGGCTTTAGTAGAAATGTTATAAGGAATTAAGTATAAATAGATTAATAATCTATTTATACTTAATTCCTTATAACATTTCTACTAAAGCCATATAACTTCATTCCAACATTTTTCTAACATTCATTAATTTTACAGTATTTCTGTAAATAATCTTTAAACTTTTTCCAGTCTTCTTCCACCGATTCTTCTCCCTGGTCTCGGATTCTGCCAGTCATTTCCGCCATTTCCATATAGTCCATCAACTTCATCTGCCATTCTTCCCGGGTGGGTAAATCTTGTGTCTTCCAATACTTTGCGATGAGTATTCTTGCTGCTGTTGTTGCATACATAAAAAAAGTTCTATCCTTCTTTGGCACCAATTGGCTGACCATGCCCAGGAGAAAGGCCTCTGGTTTCTTCAGGAAGGTATATTTAAATACCTTTTTCATTTCATTATAAATCATCTCCCAGAATGTCTTAATCCTTGGGCATGTCCACCACAGGTGAAAGAATGTACCTTCAGTTTCATTACATTTCCAACATTTATTGTCAGGTAAATTATAAATTTTTGCAAGCTTGACTGGTGTCATGTACCACCTATAAATCATTTTCATTAAGTTCTCTCTTAGAGCATTACATGCCGTAAATTTCATACCTGTGGTCCATAACTGTTCCCAGTCAGCCATCATAATGTTATGTCCAACGTCTTGTGCCCATTTAATCATAGCAGATTTCACCATTTCATCCTGAGTGTTCCATTTCAACAGCAAGTTATACATTCTTGACAAATTCTTAATTTTGGGATCTAACAATTCTGTTTCCAATTTTGATTTTTCCACCTGGAAACCAGCTTTTTTATCCAGGTTATATGCCTCCATTATTTGATAGTAATGGAGCCAATCTCGCACTCTGTTTTTCAATTTTTCAAAGCTCTGCAGTTTTATTCTGTCTCCATCTTGTTCTAAAATTTCCCAATATTTTGGCCATTTGGCCTCCATATTGAGTTTTTTCTGAGCCTTCGCTTCCATTGGTGACAACCATCTTGGAGTTTTATTTTCTAGCAAATCCTTATATCTTATCCAAACATTAAACAGTGCTTTTCTAACAATATGGTTTTTAAACACTTTATGTGCTTTTACCTTATCATACCACAAATATGCATGCCAGCCAAATACATTGTTGAAACCTTCTAAATCCAGCACATCAGTGTTTTCAACTGACCTTTGGTCAGTTAAATCCAGTCAAAGACTCCTCTGGGGTTGTGGCACTCATCTTGTTTCAGGCAAAGGGAGCCAGTGTTTGTCCACAGTTTTCCAGGTCATGTGGCCAGCATGACTAAACCACTTCTGGCACAACGGAACACCGTGACAGAAACCAGAGCACACAGAAATGCAGTTTACCTTCCCACCACAGCAGTACCTATTTATCTACTTGCACTGGTGTGCTTTCGAACTGCTAGGTTGGCAGGAGCTGGGACCAAGCAACAGGAGCTCACCCCATCATGGGGATTCGAACTGCCAACCTTCCAATCAGCAAGCCCAAGAGGCTCAGTGGTTTAGACCACAGCACCACCTGCGCTATACTAAACTAGATGGACCAACAGTCTGACTTGGTTTCCTACATTCCTTTCTTTAAGAGGCATTAATAAAACCTGAAAGGTTTTCCAAATTGGTGTTCTAATTTTTCCCTGGTGGGTAGATCAAAGTAATCAAAAATGCCTTGTGAGTATCCAGCATTTGAAAAGTATATGTTCTATCTAGTTAAACAGTAACATCCTCCCAGCTCCTTTTACATTCACTTTTCCCTGCTATGACAACTTTCCTCTTCTCCCCTTCCTTTCTATTCTCAGTTTGTTGTTTGGTGGTGGTGGTGGTGGTGAGAAAACAAATGTTAACTTTTCACCTCACTTTCTAATTTCTTCAACCCCTCCTCTGGCCCTTCCACTCAGAAAAGGGAAAACCTCCTTCTATGCCCTCCCAACCCCTGACCTTCTCTAACTGCTTGGCCACTTTTTATTAGTATGCGGGAAGTTGTTTGTGCTAGCATAAGTCCAACCAACTGGCTATGGCATGGCTAGGGGGCAATGGACGGGCAAGTGAGGAGGCCCTGGGGTATGTGTGGTAGTGATGCTGAGCTAGAAAAACCGCTGTAGGTCTTTCACGACATTTTGGGAATGGAAAAGGAGCATGAAAGGAAAAGCAACTTGATTGTGCATTGGGTGTAGGAAGGCTCAGTGTAATAATTAAGCAGCTTCTAATGTATTGTTCTAATAAATTAAATTCTTAAGCAGAGAGCTGGAACCTTCTGACCTGACTGCTAGTTAATGGGAAAGGCAGACAGAATATTACTCCTGCTCTCTGGACACTGATCTCAGGTCCACCTCTCCTGGGTACTTCTGCCTTATAAAGGCATAATTTGCTCCTCTGGGAGAGTGACATTGATGTTCATTTTCAGTCTCTCTCAATCATGATTGTTAAGTTTTGTTTTACAAAGGTTTCGTGGAATGCTACTGGCTGGTTAATTAACCCTCTAGGGACTGCAGATGTATATTGTCTTCCTAAGCACACCGTAAAATGCTAGCATTCCAATTAATAGTTTGTAAATGATGTTTTAAAGTTTAGGCAAGGTGACGGGGTCTCCATGCAACAGCCTAGTATTATAGGGCCAGGAGCTGATCTCCCTATGGCTTTCATTATGCTAACCAGCTGTTTCTATATGCATATTTTTCTCCAACAGAAATCAAAATATTGTTTCCAAGACTCACCAGGAAGAATGATAGTGACAATTTTGACCTTGCATTCCACTGAGAAGAAATAAATGAATGACCCCACATTCAAAACTCAGCGACTGATTTCTACATCAGGACATTTCTCTCCACACTAAAACCTGAGCTTTTGGTGGATGAGGTTTGCCTGGAGGAAAATCCACAGTAAAATAAATAAAAGGGGAGTTTTGCACTAAAAGAAAAGCATTTCTGGACCTTATCAAAGTCGCACACACTTTTGTGCAAAGCAAGTTGGACCTGGTGCTAAATTCTATAAACTTCAGCCAATTCAGCTTCTCATTTGGTTGGACACAAAATAGTATTCCTTGAGGCTGTTACAGTAATAGGGATGCCCAACATTAAAAAATGTGAAAGGGAGCCATTTTAAAACCTTCCAACTAAGCTGAACAGTATTTCATGTCCCTTTCAACTTTTTAAGCTAGCAACAACATATTGGGTTGAATCCAACTAAATTGTTGAAGGACCTGCTTGTGCAATGCAACTTTCTCTCCTCTCTTCCTACTATGTGCCCCCAACATCCCCACCCCACCCCCCAAAAAATTTGCCTTAGGTTTTCCCCAACCCTTAACAGCAGGTTTGGGAAAGGGTATAGGGGCACATGCAAGCAATTACTTAGTTGGATACAGCCCACATTGAATGTTATCATTTGAAATTCTGATGCAGTAACCAAATATGGCATAATGTTTGAAGATTGGCCTGTTGAACAAACAGAGAAATCATACAGAAATTCAGTGTTTCCACTTCATGCTCAGTCTGACAACAGATTTAGGCTCTCTTACATAGTCTGATTAAGGAGCTATACACTGGCTTAGTATTGTTATCACTGTACAGGAATGAGGAAAATGAAATGCATTCCTCTAGACTGGCATACATTCCAAACTTATTACAAAAAAAAATGTTAATACTTTCATTTTGCAAAAGGCTTCACAATTTATTTTGATATTAAAAATGCAAGACCACAAGTCAAAATTCAGAAAGTGCATTATTTTAATAGAGCCAAAATGAGAACGAGTTTTAGAAACCTAAAAAATAAAGGCCACAGAAAAACTATCCATTGACATACATGACAATTTATTTTAAAAGGTAAAGGACCCTGACACTTAAGTCCAGTCATGAACGACTCTGGGGTTTCGGCGCTC